AGTCAGCATTTCCCATTCCTTGGTCCACAGTCCATGGACCATTGGCCTAAGCTGTTCCCAGCAGAGTGAATGTTACAACAGAACTCTTCTGTTTTGAGGATGTGAATCTAAAACTTCTGCAGACACTTAGGCAGCCTGAGGATAAAAGTAATACCTCTATGAAGAGAAACACGTCATTGAACCACTGAAAAAAATCAACCCTAAAGCCTGCTCTTCCTCTGGACATTCCAGTTAAATGAGCCAGTAAATCCTTTTTGCTCATTAAGCTAATTTAAATTGTTTTCCTATTTTTGCAAGCCAACATTTGCTAACAGGAACATATTTATTCGTTGGTGAATGAATGTGAATGAATAAATGAATAACAAGAAAAATGCTTTCATTACAACCTTCTTCTTAATGCTACTCAGAACATTTTTAGTGCTGATATCATAAAAATATCTGTTTTTTTCCCCCCTGGGCATTGGCATAATTAGGAAAATAACAGTCACACAATTTTTAAATTATATATTTATTTATAAATTATATATATATCAAATAAAGGTACTTGAAATGTGGTTTTCTAGTAAGGGGCAGAAAATCCTAATCAGATGGCTGAGAATTAGGGTCCTGGTCTTAGAGAAGCTTTTGCAAGGTGAACACTTTGCTTTCCTTTACTTACTGGAGTCTGAGATTGACTTTGGGGAACTCTTAGAGTTTATGAGGGTGTCAAGGCTACTCCTTGTGGCCTTTACTGGTCCAAAGGTTGCTGCTCCTCACTCCTTTTCCAAAAATCATTTAGTGTAGTTAAATATTAAATAAAGAAATGGTAAAATCAATTGTAGAAAAGGAATCCAGTCCCAAGGCTACTTATAATTATACTTGTAATGTTTATAGACTGGTAAGGAGAATGTAAGGGGTAGAGTGTTTCACCCTCTTACGTCACCAATTCAATTTAATTTTCTCCATTGGTATGAAAACCCATTTGGGGCAGAGAAGTGAGCATTTTTGATCCCAGCAAAATGATAGAATTGGCCTTACCCACCTACACTTTGACCTGAAAAAGCCCTTTCAAAATTGCTGCCCTCCAAGATTTGTGTTCTCCAGATTCATGTATCTTGCTACTCTGCTTAATTTGTCTTTATCTACTCACAGAGGAAGGTACATGTAGCTTCTCAGAGGCTGAAAATTTCTGCCGACTTTTCATAAATGCTGCCAACTTTTCATAAATGCTGCCAACTACAAATTGGCACTTGCCAAGAGCCTTTGCCAGCGACTGAACAGCAATAAAAAGCGCATTTGAACCCTGTGCTGTTCCGCCTCCAGCACACACTGAGGGCATTCAGGGTGGAGAGTGAGGCACCCTGTGCTCAGGGGAACTGGTGGAACAGGTCTTTAGATAGTTAGACACTCTCAGCAACTGATCTCATGAACCCAACCCTTGCGTCTCCTCGTATCTAGAAAAGCAGTAAATCCCTTCATGGTGACCTCAGCTCCTTGTGACAGGCAGAAAATATTTTGTAAAATAAGTGCTTGACAAGAAATGCTGGAGAGGGTGTGGAGAAAAGGGAACCCTCTCACACTGTTGGTGGGAATGCAAACTAGTACAGCCGCTATGGAGAACAGTGTGGAGATTCCTTAAAAAACTGGAAATAGAACTGCCATATGACCCAGAAATCCCCCTCCTGGGCATACACACAGAGGAAACCAGATCTGAAAGAGACACATGTACCCCAATGTTCATCGCAGCACTGTTTGCAATAGCCAGGACATGGAAGCAACCCAGATGCCCATCAGCAGACGAATGGATAAGGAAGCTATGGTACATGTACACCATGGAATATTACTCAGCCATTAAAAAGAGTACATTTGAATCAGTTCTAATGAGATGGATAAAACTGGAGCCCATTATACAGAGTGAAGTAAGCCAGAAAGATAAACACCAATACAGTATACTAACGCATATATATGGAATTTAGAAAGATGGTAATGATAACCCTATATGCAAGACGGAAAAAGAGACACAGATGTATAGAACAGACTTTTGGACTCTATGGGAGAAGGCGAGGGTGGGATGATCTGAGAGAACAGCATCGAAACATGTATATTATCAAGTGTGAAACAGATCGCCAGTCCAGGTTGGATGCATGAGACAAGTGCTCAGGGCTGGTGCACTGGGATGACCCAGAGGGATGGGATGGGGAGGGAGGTGGGAGGGGGGTTCAGGATGGGGAACACATGTAAATCCATGGCTGATTCATGCCAATGTATGGCAAAAACCACTACAATATTGTAAAGTAATTAGCCTCCAACTAATAAAAATAAAGGAAAAAAAAAGCGCTTGACTGCATTGAACTCCCCCTTCAACAAAATTACATATTAATATATTGACCATCCCCCATTACTTCTTTGAACCGTCTCTCAGAGCTCTCTGAGGGGCTGTCTCCTGGGCTTCAGTCCTCATTTAGCCCCAAATAAAACTGAACTCTCAACTCTTAAGTTGTGCATCTTTTTTAGTCAACAATGCTAACCACTGTTTCAGCTGTCTTAACTATTTTAATCAAACATTGCTGTTTTATTCTTGTATCCTCACTGCACTTTCTCACCAAAGCCACAATTTTGTAAGTATGAATATATTTAAGCATATTAAGCAAATTTTTTTCCTGAGTAGTTTGTGTGGTATGTATGTAAACCTATTTGTTACTCTTCTGTAGCAATACAACTAGCAAAATACATGTAAAAACTAAAAACTATAGATACCACACATTTAGCCTTTTTTATATATGTATTTATTTGGCTATGTTGGGTCTTAGTTGCTCCGTGTGCTGCCTGTGAAACCTTAGTTCCCAGACCAGGGATCAAACCCCCGCCCCCTACATTGCAAGACAGATTCTTAACCACTGGGCCACCAGGGAAGTGCCACATCTAGTCTTTAAACTGCTCATAACTGGTGGCTTATTTCTTAATGGGGCTGGGAGAACTAGGTGGCCTCCAAGAGGAAAATGAAGCTAGGTCCATAGTCCAGACCTTTCACTTGGTTAAACACCCTTAAGTAACAAATTAAAGTATTTAAAACTAAACAAAACTATTTTAAAATATATATAACCATAAAGAACATAAAACCTTTCTACATGTGTTACACAATTTAGAAACCAAAGCAGAAAAGACTGAGAAATGCTACCATGGAAGAACTTATTTGTAAAAGCTCTTCATCTAGAAAAAAATTTTTCTTTGGAAAGAGCTACATGAAGAATTATTAGCAAGGTGTAGTTAGAGCAATGTAACTCACACATTAATTTTTCTGTTGTATCTGTGTGTGTTTGGGGATGTGTGTGGAATAGTTGAGTCTGCAGAGCAACTCCCGTCCCTGTCTTTCTCTGATCACACCAAAGTCTGTATCCTCACACATGGTGAAAAAAGTCTGCTTTGCTGACATAGAGAACAGACTTGTGGACCCAGCAGGGGAAGGAGAGGGAGGGACAAATGGAGAGAGAAGCACTGAGACATATATATCACCAGATGTAAAATACTAGCTCGTGGGAAGTTGCCATGAAACACAGGAAATCAACCCCGTTGTTATTCAGTCACTCAGTCGTGTCCGACTCTTTGTGACCCCATGAACCACAGTGCGGCAGGCTTCCCTGTCCATCACCAACTCCCAGAGCCTACTCAAACTCATGTCCATTGCATCGGTGATGCCATCAACCATCTCATCTTCTGTTGTCCCCTTCTCCTCCTGCCTTCAGCCTTTCCCAACATCAGGGTCTTTCCCAATGAGTTGGCTCTTCGCATCAGGTGGCCCAAGTATAGGAGCTTTAGCTTCAGCATCAGTCCTTCCAATGAATATTCAGGGTTGATATCCTTTAAGATTGACTGGCCTGATCTCCTTGCTGTCCAAGGGACTCTCAGGAGTCTTCTCCAACACCACAGTTTAAAAGCATCAGTTCTTTGGCACTCAGTCTTTTTTGTTGTTCAACACTCATATCCGTACATGACCACTGGAAAAACCATAGCTTTGACTCTACAGACCTTCGCTGGCAAAGTAACATCTCAGCTTTTGAATACACTGTCTAGGTTTGTCATTGCTTTTCTTTCAAGGAGCAAGTATCTTTTAATTGCATGGCTGCAGTCAGCATACACAGTAATTTTGGAGCCCAAGAAAATAAAGTCTCTCACTGTTTCCATTATCTCCCTATCTATTTGCTATAAAGTGATGGGACCAGATGCCATGATCTTCATTTTGTGAATGTTGAATATTAAGCCAGCCCTGTGACAATCTTGAGAGGTGGGATGAGATAAGATGCGGGGGCAGGGAGAGGCAAGAGGGAGGGGACATGACTGATTTGTGTTGTATGACAGAAATCAACACAACATTGTAAAGCAATTATCCTCCAATTGAAAAGAAAAACCAATGTCTGCTTCCCTCCTGCTCCATCCTTGTTTGCACTGAGAGGGGAGATAAGAGGAAGTGGCAAAAAAGAAAATGACTACTGGCTTCTTGTTAAGGGGCGGGGTGTTGAGTTGAAAGCTGGCTGCCTTGAGAATGGAGAGGATCCGCAGCGCTATCTGTAGCCCCAGCCCAGCTGTCACCTCTAGCTATCTGTGAACCCTCTGGCACTGGTCTTCACACAGGAAAGCTCTCCTTCATTTGACACGTGTTGTTTGAGAAAATTAGAAGGGAGTGGAAAGAGGAAGTGCTCCATAGGTATGGTTATTATTATAAAGAACAGTTGCAACGACATGCGGCTTGGAAATTGGATCTATGTTCACCATTCACTCCAGGGAAGGTTCTCTGACAGTTCCAGGCCCAGGAATTCCAGGAAAATACAGGGACGCAGCAATGGGTGACCTTTTGATGCAGAAGGCCAGGCTTGCTGAAATGATTGCCCAAAGAGGACAGAAGAGGCTGTTAGAGGTGGGAGGAGCCTGGGGTAGCACCCGGAGGCCAGGTGGGCGGAGCCATGGCGAAGTGGGAGGAGCTCCATTGCCCCCCTCACTCTCCAAAGGAGACAGAGGGAGCGAAAGCTTAGAGCCTCGCCAGAATGTGAGCAGCGCCAAGTGTGATGAGACTTGGACTCAGCCAGCGCTGGAAAACAGTCTGACCTACACTGGGGCATGTAAGTGGATAACTGACAGGGCCGAGAGGAGCAGAGAGAGTGCAACTGAAGAAAGCTTATTTATTCACTTGTCCCTGCTCTTGTCATCTAGGGTCGAGTTCACAGTTAAAGCAGAAGAGCATGAGCTGTCTGTCGCTTGGCAGGAAGGTGTGATATGTTGCAAGGAAGGCAGAAGCTAACCAGCAAGTAGGATCCATCCGGTTCCAATCATCCGCCTACCTCCTACATGGTGTCTGCAATCTCCCTTTCTTCCAGGGGTGCAAAGAGACAGAAGGGTTCCATCCAGGCTGCTTGGACTGCCCTGCCCTTGAGCCACCCTCATAGTTTCCCTAGTCTGCTTCCAATATCCAGAAAGAAAATAATGCAAACCAATTTGAAAGGAAAGGGATCGTCCTTAACATGTGGCAGCTCTCCTGTAAAATGTCTCTCTCACAGTTCCCAAAAATGGTTGTCCGTCTCTAGAGAATGTCATAGAATGTGAGAAGGAGGGGCACTGAGTTTATAGATGGTCAGATTGAAGCTGGAATTGACCACAGTAGTGTTTACTCCCAGCTCCTCATTTTATTTGGGAAGAAATAGAGACCTAGGAAGGTTAAGGGACATGCCTGTGGTCATCTAGTCCCCTTCTCTAGTCATCTTTAGGTGGATCTGTCACATGTACTAGCTAATGACCTCCCACCACCTCTGCCAATTTTACTTAATACAGGTAAATCCCTAATAGCCATGTGGGTGCTCTGTGAACTTAGTCCACTTGCTGTAACTGATCAGATCAGGAGTAAATACATAGTTGTGTCATTCATCTCTTAATATTTGAAGCCACAAAAAAAGAAAAGAAAAAACTTGAAACTGTTAGTGATCCAAAACTTTTTATATGGCTGGAAATATAACTTGTAAATTCAGGAAATATAACTCACATGTATGTTAAAGAGGCATATTCACCTGTCACATACCTGTGCACCAAGGAACACAGAAAGGGGAGTGCAGAGTGAAGCAATTGTGCAGAAAATGGTAGAAAAATGTGAAGAGAGTGTGAATCCTGGGGCCTTGTAGTTCCACTTTCCAGTCACTCACTGAGCTTGGCTGCATTCCTGCTCTTGGACATATCCCTCCGCCCCCACCCCTTTTCTCCATGTTACAGTTCAAGTTGTTGTTGTTGTTCGGTCGCTAAATTGTGTCTGACTCTTTGTGACCCCAGGGACTGCAGCATGCCAGGCTTCCCTGTCCTTCAAGTTACTTGCTTCTGTTACTTGCAACCAAGGAATACTAATATCCTCTCGCAGTGGGAGTAGACGCGGGTGCCAGCATGGCTGTCTCAGCTTGCACTCCTGGCGATCAAGCAAGGAGCCCACCTGAGCCTCCTTTTTCCTGTTGGTTGCTGAGGAAATACTGGCCGACGGCCCACTGGGAACTGCTTTTCTGCATCCAGAAGGATGCAGCATGGCAGGGATGCTACTAAGAGCACCCAGATGCCCATGTGACGGGGATGCATATAAAAAGGGAGGAGATCATAGCTGAGCCGCCTCACCATCTGAATTACTGCCCCCCAACCTTCCTGGGACAGCCCAGCTCGGGCTTTCTCCTTTTCTCTGTCTGAGATCCCGTCATGACTACTTTCTTAGTCTCTGTGTGTTGGTAGACCATTCCTGATAGCCATTTCTGAAAAACCTAGCTAAGTCCAGGTCTCCTGCCTGGGAGCAAATATTCTCTCACTGCATCTCAGGATTACAGACCTCCAGTTCCTGGTTCTACATTTCTCAGGTCAGTCATCTGCTTTCTTTTGCCTGGGCCCTGATCTCCAAGGTGTCCCTATCCTCCCAGGTCTTAGGTTGGATTCCTCAGGAATAAACCCTGGAATAAACCCTTTATGCAAGTGGATTATCTCAAGGATTGCTGGCAGGGAGATGGGAGGGAAGGCAGCTAATCATGTGTGTTAGGGAGAAAGTGGCTACTTTGGGCAAGTTGGGTGCAATCCTGCCCAGGGGACTTGAGGGACAGTGGGAAAATGCTTGAGAGTTTCCCGCCCTAACATTCAAGGAAGCTAAGATCTATTTATCTTCCAATTCCCAAGCAACATGAGCTGATGGCTGTTCCCAGAGGATCAACTTGCCAATATCACCAGCTAGTCCCACGCTTGGATTAAGAGCAAGCAGAGAGATGCAGGTCCTTGCAACAGGATGCATTCCACACATGTCCCCTGGTGAGGTCCCAGGGGATGTGGGCAGAGCACAGCAGTGTCCACTACAGCCCACGTGTCCCAACTGCACCTGGGTTTTGGTACATGATTACACAAGCTTGGCATTGTCCAACTGGAACTGAAGGCGTAGCATTCCGATATGAGGACCCTGGAGCCCCGTATCCAGCAGAGATGAGCTCCAGAACTTGAACCTCAGGCTGGTACTCGTCCCCACTCAGCTTCAGCCCCTAGGAAGCAGAATTAAATCCATTCCACACAATTTTGCATAATGGAGATGTTACTTTGTGATGTTAATCACATATGCATAAAGTTAATAGTTTTGTGTTTAAGGAAAAGCCTTATTTCCAAGGCTGTTCCAAGTTTTTATCAAGTCTGTCTTTCTCCCTTGCCCTCCATGAATGTTAATGCAGGATCAAGGAATGCCACAGGACAGAGATATTAATATTTGTTCCTCTGCTAAAGCTTAACACAGTCGAAAGAGCGTGGACTTTGGAACAAACCAAGCTAGTTTTATTTCTGCTTTTGTGTCTTAAAAAAATCCTTCTCAACTCCGAAGTCAGGAAGATATACTTGAGTGTATTTTCTAAAGGCTTTATAGCCTTTCACATTTAGATACTTAATCCAGTTAGAATTGATTTTTCTATCTGGGTTTTTTCCGGTTTAGATTATCCAGCTGTCAAAGAAACATCTATTGAAAAGACCATCCTTTCTGCAGAGTATCACCTTGTCATGTATCTATTGTCCATACAAACATGAGTTTGTTTTAGTCTCTGCTCCAGTGGTCTCTTTATCCATCCCTGGAACAAAACCACGTGTTAATCAGTATGGCTTACAAGTCTTTTCATCTGGTAGGACAAGTTCTCCTACTTTACTTTTCTTATGGACTTCCTCACCAATTCTTGCCCCTTTGTACTTCAGTATAAACTGTAGAACCAGCTTCTCAAAGTAATTGCTGGAATTTTGATTGGGATTGCTGAATCAATAAATCATTTGGGGGAGAGTTGACATACAGTACACTTCCTTCCATTTATGTAAAGTTAAAAGCTCAAAAAACTATAATGCTTAGAGAGTGATAAATTTAAAATACAGCAAAGAACCAGTTACCATCATAGTCAGTGGAGTGATTACATCTGAGAGGGAAGTAAGAGGCTTTGATTTCGAAGGGATGCACAAGAAGCCTTTGTTTTATTTTTTGACCTCATGGTAGTTATATGAGGGTCTGCCTTGTAATTATTTATTAAAATGTGTATCTATGGTTTGCTTAATTTTTATAGTATTGTTCATGATAAAATATTTTTAAAATTCTAACTCTGCCTCTTGCTAGTTATTACATTAAATTTTGTTACTTTAAAAAATGTAACAGTTTCTCTCTAAGCCGTAGTTTTCCCATTTGTAAACTGGAGTTCATACCTACATCACAGATTTATCTTTTCTTACAACATTGCAAACAACACATACTACTATGCTTAACACATGCTAGATCATCAAGAAATGCTGATTTACTTCCCCCTCCCAGGCAATCTCTAGTAGAATCAAGCAGAAGTGATATGACAACATCTAGGAGGATTATGTATTCAGGAGTCCCCTGCATGCAGCTTTGGACTTGAACTCTGTCCTGTGCAAAATGAATGTTGACTGGACAGTGAGGTTATCTCTTGCTCTTTCTGGAAATCATGACATCTGTCAGTTTTATCACCTTAGGTGTAGGGCAAAGTGAAATCCGTTCAATAACGCTTATCTCTAAACCAGCCTTCTGCTGAGTCATCAACTGGCAAGGGGCTTTCTCCCCACCCCTTTCACTCTGTCCTTGGCTTTAGAGAAATGAACCTGTAGCCTTTGACCCCCTACAGGTAGGCACTACTGGACTGCAAATGGTAGTGAATGGTGGTAGAGGTTTTTAAATATTCATTCTGAATTGAGATCCCTTTAAAATAATGCCTGGGCCAGGGCAGTGGGTGGGAGAAGGAGAGGGGAATGGGTATTTTGTGATACACACACACACACACACACACACACACATATCTTCTTTGCAGCTATTACAAGCCAGGCACCAAAGTTAGTCTCAATAATAAAAATTAAAAAAATAATGGATAAGATGTGCTGCTGCTGCTGCGTCGCTTCAGTCGTATCCGACTCTGTGCGACCCCATAGAAGGCAGCCCACCAGGCGCCCCCATCCCTGGGATTCTCCAGGCAAGAACACTGGAGTGGGTTGCCATTGCCTTCTCCCAAATAAGAGAAGAGTGATTGCTAAATATGCCAGTCATTTTGTTTTGTACTTCAGGTGTATTATTTTATTTAATCCTCTCATGATAATGTGTTCTTTTTATCCCTCATTTTTCAGTGAGGGATACTAGCTTTACTAGCTTCACTTACTAGCTTTACCTAGTAAGCTGGGTGTTAGAGAAGTTATGACTTGCCCAATGTCTCATAACTCGTAAACTGTGGGGACCATAACTAGCTGTGTTTCTAAATTTGTGTAATGACAAGTTAAGAACTGGAGTGGTGGAGCTACACATACTCTATATGCACACGAACTGGCTTTTCTGCTATGTCTTCTGTTTCTGCAATGAAAGACCGTCACGAAGTGCTATGTTCTGCCTGCGTCATCTCTCTCTGACTGGTGGATACGTGAGTGAGTGAGTGTGAAAGTTGCTCAGTCGTGTCTGACTCTTTTGCAAAGCCATGGACTGTAGCCCGGCAGGCTCCTCTGTCCATGGAATTTCCCAGGCAAGAAAATTGGAGTGGGTTGCCATTTCCTTCTCCAGGGGATCTTCCCAACCCAGGGGTCAAACCCGAGGTTTCTGCATTGCAGATTCTTTACCATCTGAGCCACCAGGAAAGCCCCAGTTGACACATAACAGTTCACTAGTAACCACAGTGAGTTTCCTGGTCAGATTGGCTCTGTGAGTATTAATTAACCATGGTAAAAATGAGATGATGAAGGACAAAAAAGACACAAGTTTTAACGCCACTTATCGCAAGTGCATGTTATATCCAGTTGTTCCACATCTGAAGGAAACAAAATTTCCAACTGTACAGAAAATTAGTTGCTGGTTGGGCCTTGCAGACACCAGACCTTTAAGAGCACCTGCTGCAAAATTTGGAATTGGAACAAAGAGTTGGTTTAAGTCACTTTGTCTAGCTAGAAATTTAACACATAAACTCAGGAGCTGTGAGGGAGCAATGTGACCCTGTGCCCAGAGGAGCAGAGAAATCTACCCACCACAGAAAGAACAGTGAAACATGGTGCAGAAAGAGGTAGGAAAACAAGGTTAAAAGGGAGAGGTCTGAGGACATGGTGGGTCTGCATCTCAGCACCTCCTAGCGCTGCCTGAAGACCGTCCTGAAGCCCCGGAAATGGCCTCTACCCTTTTCATTCAGGGCTTCCCTCGTGGCTCAGATGGTAAGGAATCTGCCTGCAATGCAGGAGACCTGGGTTTGGGAAGACCCCCTGGAGAAGGGAATGGCAACCCACTCCAGTATTCTTGCCTGGAGAATCCCATGGACAGAGGAGCCTAGCAGGCTACAGTCCACGGGGTCACAAAGAGTCAGACAGGAATGAGAGACTAATACACAGACACACAACAGTGCTTTGCATTCAGATCCATATTGGTTGGTTGGTTTTTGTCATAAGGCAGTTTGCATGTGAAAGAGGGGTTTAAAAGGAAAGGCCCTCCCCCTTGTCCTACAGTGGAGCTTAGAGAATTGCTCTAAGGATTTGCCAGTCCTTCCGCAGAGCCTCCTCGCTTCCCTCAGTGTCTGTCCCTGTTACGTGGCTCTTCACGCTCCACCCACAGCTTCTGTTTCGAGCTCTACACTCATGCAGTGTATGCTGGGAACTTTAATCACCCCTTTCTCAATTCATTCCTTAGATGAATCCAAGCATTGGGCTCATTCATCACTACTATTCACCTGATTAAGTCAAGATTTACCCAGAAACATCCCAGAAGATTTCTTTGGATATACCTTCTTATCATGGTGGGGGTGAGCTGCCCATCAACATGTCCTTTGAAACTTATCTTGCACCTAGCCCATGAGACTGCTAGATCGCTTACTAATTTACAGGAGTCCCTAGATTTCTTGGCCAAGACGATACCTGACAACCGATTGACCCTTGTTCATCTATTGACAGAACAAGGAGAGGTTTGTGCAACAGCCAATACTTTCTGTTGCACATACATCAATACCTCTTTCCAGGCAAAAATCAGTATTGAGGAAATTTGACAACAAGCTACTTGGCTTCATCAGACAATTAACCACTAAAACTTGATATTTAATATGAGCGGGGAAATTGAAAACTGGTTATCTTGTTTGTTTGCTTGGATCCCACAAGGTTTAAAAAACTTTCTGGCAGGACGTTTTCATTTTTTATAACTCCTTTCTTTTCAGTCATGCTGATTTATGCTATATTTTGCCTAGTGCTTCGCCGTCTTCCCTACTGTTGTAAACCTGTGACTAAGACTTTTCAGTCCAAGAAGGAGACCTAGGACCTCCAGGTCCAGACCTTGTATTCTAAAGATAGATAAACAGGTTAGACTTGAACTCTGAGATTAATAAAAATATATTTCCAAGCAGAATGGCTCCTTGGCAGGGGTAGCATCACCCCTCCTACCTGGTCAGCATTTAAGGAAACCCTCCTAAAGTTAACCTGGTTCCTTCCTTTCCTAGGTCCTTTAATAGGTATCGCTGTTCACCTTTTTAGCCCTTGTTTGTTTAACCTTTTGGTTACATTTGTGTCTTTTAGGCCCCAAAAGTTTGAAGTAAGCCTCATGATGGCTCAAGGAATCTGGCCCATTCCAGCAGAAACAGGATGAAGGTTGCTTAACAACAGGTCTCACCTGCTTCATCATGTGACCCTAATCAAGGACTTACCATACGGAGCCCATTTTTATAACAAATCGATTTTTACAATGAACAAGATAGATACCAGAACCTGCCCCTTTTCAATAAAAACAACCAAGGGACTTCCCTGATGGTCCAGTGGTCAAAACTCCATGCTCCTACTGCAAAGGGTGCGGATTTGATCCTTCGTTAGTTAACTAAGATCCTGCATGCTGCATGGTACAGACAAAAAATTTTAAAAAGTAAATAAAATTCTAAAAATAGATAAAAACTACCAAAAAAGTAGAATCGTCTCAGTTGCTAGAGGTGGCGTGACATAGTCATGAGCTGCTGTCCAGAAAAGAACTAGACATCTCAAGAATCACTGGACACAAAGAAAGGACAGAGAATGAAGGAAATATAGACCGGATATACACTGGAATCCCCTGGGGAATTTAAAAAATCATGCCACCATGGTACTGTCCCCAAGAGATTTTAATGCAATTGGTTTGGGGCCCTGGCATCAAGATTTTAAAAATTCCCCAGCATCCCAAGCGGTTTTAATGAGCCGTCAAGGCTGAGAACCACTGACATAGAGGAGAACCATAATTGATAGGAAGTTGAGCAGATTTTAGGAAAAGACAAAGGTGATGAGAATTATGTTGATTACAGTTTTTTAAGGTTTTTTTTTTTTTTTTTAGCTACACTGCATGGCATATGTGATCTTAGCTCCCCAGCTAGGGATCGAACCCATACCCCCTGCAATGTCAGCAGAATCTTAACCACCAGACCACCAGGGAAGTCCCTTGACTAAACTTTTCATCCTTCATGGCAACTTGTTTTAAGTAACAACCGTCTACTCAGCACCTGTTGTGTGCAAGGAACTATACTTCACATTTGGATGTTCCTCACAGTGACCTTGGAGTTTTCTAGCTGAGGAAGTGGAAAGTCAGGTGAGGAAACTCCTCTGAGGACAAATGACTCCTGAGTTGCAGAGTCTGTCTTTCCTTTATATCAGTTGCTCCAACTTTAGTACGCATCACAGCCACCAGAACACTTGCTGGAAAAGCCCCTTCACAGGGGTCCCCACACTTTTTGGCACCAGGTTTTATGAAAGACAGTTTTTCCACAGCCAAGGGGTGAGGGGATGGTTTCGGGATGTTTCAAGCACAGTGATGGGGAACAGCTGTAAATACAGATGAAGCTTTTCTCACTTGCCGGATGCTCACCTCCCACTGTGTGGCCACAGACCAATACCAGGGGTTAGGGTCCCCCTGCTCCATCACACAGGGGTGAAATTAAATAGGTTTCAACGGCTTGAGTCTCTCTCCCCAGGTTAGTCTGATGCATGAGCTTCACAGAGAACTTTTGAGAAAGCTCCCAACATAGTGGAAGCTCAAGCAAAATTTGCCAGAGGTAGGGAGGGAGAGGGGCTTCCTGAGTGGCTCAGCAGTAGAGAATCCTCCTGCATCTCAGGAGACATAGGTTTGATCTTCCTGGATCAGGAAGATCCCCTGGAAGAGGACATGGCAACCCACTGCAGCATTCTTGCCTGGAGAATCCCAGGGACAGAGGAGCCTGGTGGGCTGCAGTCCATGGGGTCGCAGAGAGTCGGACGTGACTGAAGCGACTTAGCACTCACACATGCAGGCCGGGAGGGAAGAAAGAAGGAAAGAAGGCAGGAAGGATAAACTTGGGACTATACTAATAACTGAGTAATAATGATTAATTGATTACCTGAGTAATAACTAGGATGACTGTAAGACAGTAGTCAAAAATATTAAGGAATATATCTGTGGGACTTGTCAGACTTTCTTCCTATTTGGTGCCGAAGAGCTACAATGAGAAACTCTGAAAATGGGCATTTAGAGGCAGGACAGAGCCAACCCAGTGGTGGGAGGCAGGCAGGGTGGGTATATTCTTCCACAGAGCCACCACGGTGGCCTGAAAACACCAGAGGCATCCAGTTCCAAAGCCTGGGCTCTTGAGCACAAAGGTGCTTTCTTGTTCACACACCTATTCTATTTAACTTGGTTTTGACATCCATGAAGAAAAACGTCCGTTAACACACATAAAATTGCAGAGGATCAAGTTTGCAGTTCCAGCTGGCATTTCGGCTGTATTTAATGAACAGTACCATCCAGCAAGAAGGATTCCATCCTTTTAAAGACCAGGTCATAGGCAAAGCGACAAGAACAAAATAGATCTGAGAGTTAAATGACTCTGCCTGCACAAGCAGGAGAAAATCACTCTGAGTTATAGACCATTGCCCCCAAAATCTCTATATCGAAAAACTAATAATTACCAAGTTTAAGCAGCACATAATATTTTATCTAACCACACTTGTGGCCAATAAAGGAATCGGGACAGTCCCTCAGAGTCTGATCACTGCCAAGGATAGAATTGTGTTGTAATATTGACAGAGAGCCAAGCCACATCTCTCTTCCTGCCTCACCCTACCCCCCAAGTTCTCTGCAACCATCATTAATTGCCTGTCAAAGCCAGTGACAAGAGCTGAACAGTGACCCAGAGATAGAACGTCAGTGAATATTTCCTCTCAACTAAATGTATTTGTGGGTTTCTGATGGACTTTAGTATGTGTTTATTGAATGCACAAATAAGTCGAAGAATTAATTAACCTAAAGATAGCCTGGGAATCAATGTAAACAAGTTTACACAGGACTTCCCCAGTGGTCCAGTGGTCAAGACTCTGCACTTCCACTGCAGGGGACGTGGGTTCAGTCCCTGGACCAGGAGGTTCTTCAAGGTGCAGCCAAAAAGAAAAAAAAGGTTACATAACTGGAAAAAGAAAAGTACTTGGAATGATTCAGAAATGCTGTAGTAGTTGCTCACTAAATGAGTGTTACATGGCAGGGGGGAAAAGTACTCTTTGAGACACAGAACCAGGTGAAGCACATTTATTGGAAACCCCAAGGCTGTTTTCCAAAATGTGCTTAAAACTAAGTGTCTGGTGTTTTTATTAAAAATGCAAATTCCCCACACTCCTGCTATACATATTCGATTTCTGCAGATCTACTGCAAAGACTGGAAATCCGTACTTACAAAATTCCTAAATACCCAAGGGCCAACCTCTTATGGTCATGTGCTATTTTTCTTCAGTTCAGTGGAGTTTGACCCATTCATTCATTCATCAAACTTTTATTGTCTACTGTATACTAGTCAGGAAGTTAGGTATCGGGAATCCAGCAAGACCAAGGAACACCAGGTCCCTGTGCTTATGGGGCTTCCTTAAGGGAGATTTGAAAGTTTTCCAATGAAATGAGATAACAACTCAAGAGCATTTTGAGACTAACATGCCTTTATTAAGTCCCTGGTCTGATAGATGAGAAAAGGGAGAGGAGAGACAGAAAGAAATCTGTTATAAAAGGATTCAGACTCAAAGTTTAGGAAGATGCTAGAATGTGTGCAAATGCTTAATTTCTTATTCTCACCGGCACCCGGGGTGGGGGGCCTGAGAAGAGAAGCATGCCTGTGGTTTCCTCGGGGTCACTGCAGTGACCAGAAGTAACCACAGGCCCAGAGGTAAGCCTGACATCCACAACAGGAACGTGTCCCTCCCTGGGGCCTCTGGGACTTGACATGGAAGCATTTCCAGAAAGTAAATGTTGTAATTACTGCAACAGATGAGTGAAGCTTTCGTCGGTTTCTGAAGAGCATTTGCTGTGAAGGTCTCCTCGGGGAAGCAATGGAGAGCTGGGGCCACGAGCGCTTCTCTTTATCAGCAGTAGACAGTAAATGGGTTCCAGGGCTGAAGTACCAAAAAGCACCAGAATCCTGGCTTCTCCACTTATTTATTGTGTGAGTCGAGGTGACTCCAATCCTCAGGATTGTTGTGAGCATTATATGTCAAAAAACATAGGAAGTTTGGCAGAATTGCTGGACCATGGTAGGCAATTAGCGAATCACTGCAATTATTTTCATAGATGTGTAGAAAAAGGATGATAAAGATATATGTGCTGATGGATACCAGTTTTTCTGGCTGTCATCTTGACAAGTTTCCACACTCATCTCCCAGATTTTCTATATAGAAGAAATGCATTAAAAGCTTTCCTGCACTTCCCTGGGGGTGCCATAGATAAGAAACCACCTGCCAATGCAGGGGACGTGGGTTCCATCCCTGATCCAGGAGGATCCCATATGCAGATGGGCAACTAAGCCAGTTGTTGTTGTTTTAGCTGCTAACTTGTGTCTGAGTCCTTCATGACCCCATGGACTGTAGCCTGCCAGGCTCCTCTGTCCATGGGGTTTCCCAGGCAAGAATACTGGAGTGGATTGTCATATCCTTCTCCAGGGATCTTCCCGACCCAGGGACGGAATCTGTGTCTCCTGCGTTGGCAGGTGGATTCTTTGCCAGTTGTGCCACCAGGGAAGCCCAGCTAAGCTGGTGCAGCATAGCTACTGGGCCAGTGCCCCAGAGCCCATGCTCTGCAAGCAGGGACGCCTCTGCAATAAGTCCACAAACCGCAGCTGGAGAGGAGCCCCTGCTCACTGCTGCCAGAGAAAGCTTGAGCATGGCAATGAGCTTTCTGACTGCACAACACGGTCAAAAATTCAAAAAGTAACTAATTAAAAAGAAAAATCTTTTCTCATTCAAAGAGTGGAAGAGTAGGTCCTTGTGGATTTAACACCATTAGAGAAGGATCCCCAGCACAGACCTAGCTGAAGATGGGTTTCCAGGGTCTCCACTTTTATTCCTGACAAGTAAAAATTGTTCCTGTTATGCAGATTTTAATGACAAATGTTAAGGACGAAAGCATGACCAGTATTGAGTTTTAGCTAATCAATTTAGAGATCAGAAAGAGAGTTCAGAGCATTGGTGGATTATAGAATTTAAACAGTGGGTGGAACAAACTCTCGAGGAGCTAGGGGCAGGATGAAAGCAATGGAGACTTGAGGTCCCATTGGAGGGGGAGTCTCAAAGGAAGACAAGGAAGGAAAAATTATCAAGAGGAGGGCAGAATATCTCCATTAGAACCTTGGGTACTTTGAGTTGTGCCTGGGTCTCAGTCTGGCACTGAACCCCATCAGGCCATTTATTCACTGGCCCATTCATTTGTTCATTCAACAGGTTTTTTATTATGGACCTAATGTGCAACTGCTCATCACAGCAAGTACATAAAAAATTCCTGAACAGGATTATCAGAATGCTCCATGTAATGAGACTTTGGGCAGGTTACTTTATCTTTGTGCCTTACTTTATTAATTGACGA